ATATATAGTGTGTATTCTCGGAATCAATATGGTCAAGTACGTGTATTACGCATATACAATATCTATAAGCACGATACAGTATTCAGAAATTGAGGGATGAACGACATCAGGCCGAGAAAAATTGGATTGTTTTTATCAATATATAAAGAATAATATACTGAGATGCTCAATATACCATTCTTTATCCATATACATTCTAATTCTCATTCTTCTGTCGTAGCTTCTTTAGTTCGATTTCGATGAGTTAAGCTGCTCTGAACTAAGAACTACGGGATAAGCCGTATTCCTCATCAGAATTAATTGCCTACCTTTTCAACGTCACCATCGAACTATATTTACTATTCGCCCAACAACGTCTGATCTCACCACCATGCGCCTGAACAGCAAGTTAATATACTCCGTTAACAAGATCACTGAATCACGACCCTATAGCAAGCTTAATCTCATAGCAATCTCTCCATGGTTTTTCCGTATATCTGCGTGTGTGTGCTGAACTCAACGGCACCTATTGCTGCCTGAACATTCAAGTGTTTGTTGTGCTGTGACCAAGCCGGATCACATCAGATCTGCGCGCCGCTAGTCCTGAGTGCGAGGGAGGAACGCGGCGGCGCCTTTGCCCCATCTGCGGCGTCTTTCCCCCAGTTGGAGCGCCTCTGCCCCAGCCGCAGCGCCTCTGCTCTTCTCTAGAACGAATTCCCTCTAACAGAAATTTTCATACGAATTGCAAACTGATAGAACAAGAAAGAAGGGGGCGACCACTGCTACAACTATAACGACGATAGACCCACAGGCACGAGCGGACTTCCAACCCACCCATGAACCAACCCATTGCGATCTCTGGGACTTACGGTGGATAGTTGGGCAGCCGTCGTCGATCGGCTTACGACGTCTCTTACCGACTCAACTCGAGCTCAGATTGGAGGGGCACACTCGTTCTAAACGCTCCCACGTACTCAACAGTGTCGGCTACTTCCTCGAGTCCAACGCTGACTGTCAAATCAGCATTGCGGTGCTACCACGGCGGAAATGGTTGTGGAATTCGTATTGGGTAGAGTATCCTTAGAATGGTTGGACACGTTCTATAAAGTCTGTGCGCTTTGCGCCACAGATGAGGGCGTCCAGCTGTTTCATTTAGCGTTTGTCACCACGAAGCTTACATGCGTGTATCCAGTCTTGCCCACCGTTCAACCTCGTCGCCGTCCTTGCTTTTGTGTGTCGAGGGACGCATGAAGACAGACACACGGCGCCTCTCTAACCCCTTGGCTCTTTTTCTCGTCCATTGCCTCCCCCACTGGAGCCCTCTCAGCAGCAGATACTTTCAAAGACCTGCCTCTTCATTTCCGGGGCAAAGGCCATAAGGGCAGAGATCCTCTTCTTTTCCTTTGTGCTTTCTGGCTGTCCTGTTGATGGTGGTACTGGCGTGTGGACCGTTATGGCCTGCGTGCCATGAGGCAGCTACTACAGCATGGTGGCCGTAGTCACTCCGACGTCGTCTAATATCTCCGAGTTGGGTAAGGGGCATTGCACTGGTTGACGGGGATTCGGAGGTCTGTATGATAGTCCAACGGTGTCAGCGGCAAATGATGGGATTTGCTGGCGCGTCGTTGTAGGTTACGGTGGAACCTTTTCCGTTTTCAGTGAGGGTTGAACGTGCTTTGTTCGAACAGTGATGCACTCCCCCTCCGTCGGTGACTGTGGCTTCGGTAATCGCCTCTTTATCTGCACCTCAGTGATACGCTACGAAGCAGTAGTCAATGCTGATATCGGCGCTCATTTTCTGCAGTCTTTAACGCTCCAGGACAACTATACGAAACCGAGGGATGGGGTTCTGAGGGGCACCCACGGCTATACCTTCCACCAGCCATAGAAGCGACGCAGAGCTCCATCTCGCTCATTCACAGGGGGCTCGCCCCTTGGATGTTCGCCCTTGGGCCTCGCCTGTTTGGAGTGGGTGCAAGTAGCAACTCCACTTTGCCGTACTACTAGTTTATGCTGTCATCTACCCTTTATCTACCCTCTATAAGTACGCCATAGTAATCGTTGACAAATACAGCACACATTGCTAACTCGCGATGCTTCGAAGATAATACAAGTATGTAGGGTTGCATAATTTTATAACAATTCTGAGGCGTTCGTACTATGGTCAGTTGAGATGTTGATGCCAGTAACGCTACCGAACAAGTCCCTTTGTTGATGAGGCCAGAACGCAGCTAGTTTTTACACAGCTTTCTCTGTTTAACTTTCCCGCCTCTGTCGTAGTGGAAACTGTGTAAAACAACACAAAATACCGCTACTCATTTATATTGTGTATCTACAAGAAATATTAGGAGCAATAGTTATCCGAGGCGAAGTTAGAACGTAGAAATCCAAAGCACATATTCAATAGCGATTGTCGTAACGGTAAATAATATTAGCCATATTCAAATCAAAAATCTCAATCAGCCGTCGTACGCCGCTTTCAGTGCGCGGAGTAGCTGTTCCTGGTGAGGCGAGAAGCTCAATCTCTGCTTATTTGCCTGCCTGTCTGCTTTCCTCTCTGACGATGCCTCTAACCGCCCGTTCGACGGCAAAGAGCCACTAGTGACTCTCGCGTGACTCTCTTGTGTCGCCCTGTCGCTTTCTGTCCTTCTCTGTCTTTGTCCACCTCTGACCAGTGGCGCCTGCTCACCCAGGCTTAGGCCACCAGCAGCGCAGGCGCTTGCAAGTAGATAGCGCTGCTGTGAGGGAGCCACGCTTCTGCACTTTTCTTGTTGGCCTGTGCTGCTGCTGCTGCTGTTCTGCCTTGCGATGCTCTCTGCCGCTTCTTTATTCTGCTCTGTGTATAGCGGCCTGACTGTCTGCTGGCGTACTGGTTCGTGTGGCCGTGTGAACGCTCCTCGATGTGTGTCTGTGACGTCAGGAAAATGGGCGTCAATTTTAGCGACGGCGGCGGTAGTGCCAGAGCGGCTGTTTGTCGGCCAGCAGCTGCGCGAGTAGCCGCCGGCAGCCGTGGCGCGGCCGCTGCTGATGGCTGCAGCGGTAGCGCCAGCAGCGGCGCCTTGGCTGGCGAGGAGGTGACGCTTAGACCACACCTTTGTCGATAGTCGCCGCAGCCGCGAGAGACGAGAGAGTGCCGCCCTCCCTTTGGCTGCTGGTGCCGTGCCGCGCCAACGAGCCCCGCTCCTCAAAAGGCGCCAGCGTCGCCCGTCGGGAGAGGAGCCCTTCGACACCAACACCACCACCGCCGCCGCCGCCAGTGGTAGCGCAGCGACGAAGGCACCGTCGCCCACAGTGGCCGCTGCACTAGCAGCAGCTAACGGCGCGGCCGCAGCAGCAGCAGCAGCAGCAGCAGCAGCAGCAGCAGCAGCAGCAGGAGCAGCAGCAGCAGCAGCAGGAGCAGCATTAGCCACCAACACGGCCGCCATCACTGACACCCAGCAGCGTCGACAGCACTATCGCGCCACCGAGCAGCTAACAGAGCGGCAGACCAGCGAACAGCCGCGGCCCCAGCATAGGGAACTGTTGTCGCTCGCATTCGCTTCTGACTAGCTGGCCAGACACCCGCCTGGTCGCCCGCCCGTTTACTTGCTGGCCACCGCACGACACAGCAGCGGCGGCAGCGGCGGCGACAGCGGCACGATCACGGCTACGACAACGACGACGACGACGACGACGACGACGACTAGCGAGTGCGGCCGCGAGTGACTGTGTGTGTGCGCGAGTGAGCGTCCGGCCACTCAGGAGAAGACCGACAGGCCGCCATCCAGACACAGCAGAGGCTAAGAGACGGCCGACACGACACCCCGCTAGAGGCGGCGACGATGACGCTCAAATTGAAGCGAGAAAACTGACGAGTAGACAGCACTATCACACTCATAGCGGCGACAGTGATAGCAGCAGCAGTAGTAGTAGCACTAACAGTGATAATAGCAACAGCCGCAGCATCGGCAGCTGGGGACAAGCGTCAACTACAATTGACGAAATACGCAGTCAACAAACTGAGTTGCTGTACAATTGAACGCTAGACAGACAGCGGCGCAAGCAAGAGCGTTGAACGACGCCAAGCAGCACTTGACTGGCAGTTGCGCAGTGGTACAGTCACAGCTGCTATAGTATCTGCTGGCCAGCTACTTTGCAGAGAAGTTAGTGGAAGTTCAAGTTCGGAGTTGCTTAAAGTGCGCCGGTAACAGTGGAGGAATAGTTGGCGCTCGTGCTAAATCTACGACGAATCAAGACAGCATTAGTTGGCGCGGTGTTCGTCAAGAGCGTTTGCCACATCTACGAGGTAAACGAGTCGAAATAAGGGAGCAAACAAAAAACGAGGCGCTGCTCACGATATCGACGGAAGGCAAAGAAAGTGATACCATATCATTAACTTCATTAATACCTATACAAATGATTAGAGGATCGGATGCGCCACTTCGTAGATGCGAAGTAGATGGTGACCAGTAAGCGAAGTCAAATTGCGTTTAATCAAGAATCGCTATTATTTCTGTAGTATAAATTCTTTTGCCCCAAAGTTCAGTCATCACTCATCGTCCAGTGTGAGTGAAATCGATTTAGGCTAGAAGGCGCCGCTTTGATTGCTAGTATAATCCGCGTCATACGCAACCTTCAAGTGTAAAACAGGACAACAGGAACCTTCTCCGATCTTTAAATCATCAATACCTTTACTACTGAACTTCTTTTGATGTTCATATCTTAGCTACAGTAAGTAACCTGACGGTATTATTGGTAGCAATTGTGTGACTCGACCCCCTCCTGTGGTCTAGCCCTGTTTATCAACGTTTATCAATGTTTATCAATTGTGCATCGTGATACATCATCGTACACAATATCATTGATAACTTTATCCACGAATCCGAAGCAAGTTCAAGTTTCACCGCTTACGTGTCTCCTCGTGAAAATTTTCCATGGAAACCTTATTATTCTAGTCCATAGGCGGTCTCATCTTTACATCGCCGTCGCACTGGACATCTTCTAATAAGTCCTCTTTATGATATTACTGTGTTACTGTGTGGATTTCAAACCTTTTTCTCCAGCCTTCTATTGGCAAGGTTCTCGGTCACGTCCTTAAAGTACTAGCAGCGCGGTACTACCTAGTCGATATGTAGGCCTGCCGCTGCTGCTGCTGCTGCTGCTGACACATGCGCCTTTCGTCTGAATCTTCACGAAATCAGAGGAGTTTGACGCCTTGAATCTTGAATGGTTAACCTGCGCGCGAAATCAAAAATCGAGTGCAAGTGTCCTAGTAGTCAGGAAAGAAAACGAGCGCGGTAAGGGGCTTCTAAACTCTACGCAGTAGAGAATACTCCGAGTACTGTGTGCGTGTGGGTTACGTATATGTGAAACAGCCGTTGCGAGTCATCGGTTATGCTCTGTGCATTGTCCTGATGCGGTACGAGGAGTCAGTGGCTATTGTCCCCGGTCTATCCAACGCCATGGCGGCCTTCCATCCCAACCCGTTCCAGATCCTCGGTGCGACACCGTCGCAGCCACAGCGATCGGCCCCGTCTACGACCGATTTCTCCATGCATTCGATCTTGAGCCAGCACGGCGGCATACCGAACGGGCCATCGGTGCCACCAGGGCTCCTGCCCAGTCACCTTCTGGCGAATAGTCCGTTAACAAGTGCTGCAGCGGGTGCGGAAGACGATGGCATATGCGACGATCCGAAGGTAGCCCTCGAGGCAAAGGACCTCTGGGACAAGTTCCACGATCTTGGCACGGAAATGGTGATCACGAAATCGGGAAGGTAAGTGGACAGTGGATGCCGCAAAATGTAAAGTAAAATAACTGCGAAAATAACCCTAGTGAACTTGGGGATGCTCAGAGTTTCGGAAAAATTAATTAGTGCAGTTGGTGTTTTAATGATTATGTTGATATGGCGGTATTGCGAAATCCGCGTCAAAATTCGAGGTAATATGAGGGTTTATTAATATTTGAACTTTACCAATCTATTTTCCAGTGTAATTGGCCTTGCTAAGTGCTGCTATGCATGATAGCTTGCAGTACTTTAGGTACGTAGGCCTTAATTCGTAAGCCTTTATGGTTATGTTTCTCTGGACAATGAGGTATTCAAGCATTTAACTGCTACGCAGTTTTGAAGAAATTCGTATTAACGCAGGACAAGCAAAAGCAGTCGAGAACACAGTCGAATCTGATAATCTTTTATTTTAAGTATGCCTTAATATATTACCACTATTTTCTGGAGACAGGTTTAGTGGAACATGTTATATTCTGTGCCAAGATACCCCTCGACGTCAAACTGTAGATGCAAGCTAAGCATTTGTTGCCTCACTGCAATGTGTAACATCGTTATACTCAGTGTTCTACAGCTTGATTTGGTAAACTTAAAACTTTTTCTCTTATTTTTCGTCCTTTCACTTAAATCTAGTAATGGGAACTCTATGCCTCTTTTCATGGGAGTCAACTTCTTGCGCAAAAGGTGACTCAAGGAGCGCCCCCTAGTGATGCTTGCACGCAACCGGGACAGCGTCGCCGCGCAGACTATTTGCCGCGTTTATTTCACATTGCCCTCGGGGCGTTGCACTGTTTGATGATGAGTTCAAGTGTACAAAGGAAAACCAGTGACGAGCTAAGCCAAATAATGTGGGATGAAGCTGGAAAAAAAATTGTCTTTTTTTTAACATTCGTTTTTATCTCAAAGATGAAATATGTTGGTGCAAAAAAATCGCAGCCCAAACACTGCTGGGTTCCGTAAAAGTTAATTAAATTCTTCCAGTTTTGCTATAGTACCAGATCGTCTTTCTTCTACTGTCCAGTTAGTTAGCTGGAGAAACTCGTCCAATAGGTTGCTTCAAAGCTAACTAGAATGCGTGCGAAACCAAGCATAGATACGTACAAAAAATTGCGATCTTTTTATCTTGACGACAAAAATTCACAAGGATGAGCTTTTTGAACACTTGATGTTTGAATTGAGTCATCCGTTAACGTTGCCACCTAATAATTTCAAAACTTGACGTTCCCGATTTTGGTGTATGGACGGCCCATCTCGAAGTGGGTCTAATGCCCGTAAATTTTTAGCGGACAAGAAAACCGTACGAGCTTTTCACAGTAGATTGCGTCCCATTTACAGAAGCAACGAGGAACATTCAGGTCTGCCGTGCTTTACAGTAATTGAAAGTGTGAAAAATGACGCCGTGGCTATCATTCAGTGCTAGACCATTCGAACTAGAGAGAAAGAACAGCTGGTCTATGGATAGATAATTGGATAAGGCTTCTGTGATAGCAGGTTGTTCGGCCCCGTAAACAGCTACGTACGCCGTCCGTCCGTCCGTCCGTTCGTCCGTTCGTTTTAAGCATATAGAAGTAAACAGAAACAAACAAAATTATTACCTGTAAAAAAAACCCGCGATCTGGCAGTGATTTTATTTAATACTGAGCATGGCTAGACCTATTATGTTCTAGAAGCAACGACAGTTTTTGGTCCTGTAAGGAAATACAATGCTAACTTGAATATTTCATATATGAGGAAAAAATTAACGAAAAAAAAAAAAAAAAAAAAAACAATTATCACTTTGTTTTAACTTGTTATTAAATTCGAGATAACAATGAAATTCGCCGACACTTACTAGACATAGGGTTAATTTATATTTTTCTTTTCTTTGATCATTCATTCATATCTGCAAAGATAATAACGCCATATTCTCTATACAAACATGTTAGTCCTCAAAACAATTTACATTTATTTACAAATGGAAGAAAATTAGTCGATACAGCGAATTGTGTCTAGTTATCCAGATGATCTGTCTGTCGTTTCTTAAAAAAAAAAAAAAAGTTTTCCAATTTGACAAGTAACTTCCTTAACTTCAGTGCACACGACACTAATCGGCGGTTCCTCATTGTAGTACTCCTTATAAGTAATACAAATATGATACGCCTAAATTAAGCAAAATTGAGTTTAATACTCCGGTCAACTGTCCTTAGACGTATTGTATGTATTGAACGCCATATTCAGTTTATTCTATTGGTTACGTTCTATATATTTGTTTGTATAAACCATTCGAAACACGGTCCGAGTCCCATTTCTTCGTATGTTTTTTTGCTGATATAGGTACTATTATATAATTATTATTATTACTATCATTAATGAGCATTGCCGTAAACCGACCTTCCCGACAAAATGTTGGGCCTGTCATACACCATCGTACGAGTGAGATTTCTAGTATCATCATACATTGACCGGCACCCAGTTTGCATGCGGGGTATCTGTTTCGGATTATTCGGTTAACAATCTGCGCAGTCAATGCCATTATTTTTAATGTCCGTATTAAGCTCTTTTGTATTCAAATGTAACAGACACGGGAGTACGCAAGCCTCGCTTACTAAGGGACAACGAGACCGTAAATCGTATAGACGAACTTGTCGTGTCAAATGCTTGACAATTATGGTTAGGACACGAGGTCTTAGCAGGATTCTGTCAAACATTTGTGCGGCGCTTTATGTGAAGGTACAATGTAATTATAATTTGGTGCCTCTTCTTGGAAATATATTCCTGCAGCTTCCGAAGAGGTAAGCGTACACAAAGTTTCTATAGTTTTGTGCACTGTTCTCAACGAATAATAGCTTACTTGTGTGCCCCTTTCGTTAAGGATACACTGGGCATTACATGTCGAGTGAGGCATTTGCGGTTTACTAATTTCCCTACGAAGTTATGTTTTAGAGTTGTAGCTTTGCCAGCGCCCCTTTTTACACTCAGCATCTGGACACATCAGCGAAGGCCCGTCATAGTCCTGGACAATTATTGGGGTAATCCGCTCCATCGGATTTGTTGCCTATGCAACATTGGTCATCTATATCAGATAGTTTACGCTAATGGCAGGGGCTTCAAGCCCGTTCATTCGTATTTCATGCTAGTTCGTATAGCTAGTGAAATGCTTTACGCTCGAAACACACACGCACAACAAGTTGCATCAAAATTAATCTGTGTCTTGTTTCGTCGCCGATATCAGTCTGCCCTCCGAAGCAAGCGCCGTCATCAGCTACACAAACACAAATTTCATCATTACAAGCATCATCCCCAACGACAGTTTCTACTCCCTACATCTTCTCATGGAGCTATCCTTGGTACAAACGTACGGACAGACAAACAGAGATGCCTAGCAATTCCATCATTAACGCTGACGGAGTTGCCCTGCCAACGACCCGCCACCGTTGTCATCTTCGTTGTTGCCGTCACATCGCTGTAGTACCGCCACCGCCATTCTTCAACTGGTCGGCCGTACACGTTCACTGCATCCACTGTCCGCTATCATCGTCATCAGCGTTTCGCGGCTGGAGCGACCACCGAATGGCCGTCAGTAGCCGTGGCCGGAGCAGTAGCAGCGGCCGTAGCGGTCGCAGCAGCAGCAGCAGCAGATCTAGCAACGGCGGCAGCTCAGAGAGTCACCATGGACTGCTGGCTATTCAAGTAGCGATCCTGAGACCGGCAAATCGACCAATGGACAGCCAAAGTGTCTCAGGCGCCGCCTCTGCTTTCCCTGCGGCTCGCAACATACACACAATACAAACGGCACAAACAGAAAGAACAACGCAACAACTTATGATATTATTGTTGCCTACTGCTCTGTCCAGAGCCGCACGCCTACCGATAGGCAGACGACAGGGCTGGCGTTGTTCCGGACGCGCTGGAAGACCAGCCGGCCGGCCGGCCGACCCACCGCAGCGAGCGAATGAAGTGGAGGAGCTCCGTTAAGAGTCACAGCGGCAAAGCAACAGATAGAAAGAGAACAGTAACCAGAATAACGTAATGAAGTTGAGCCGGGCGTTCGAGGTAGGCGAACAGATTGAAAAAGGTCATGACGTGAAGAGTGCTGTCGACCTAGCTGAGTATGCCTTGTTCGTGGGCTGGGCTACGTTCAAATGCATTGAACAGAACCTAAATATTTGTTTAGTGGACAAATCTATAGCTTCGAATTGTACGAAGACTATGTAAAGTTGTAGTACACCCTGGAGAAAACATGAAAGTAATGCGATTGACTGGACATCGATGCTCTATACTCGACAACTCTTCGTCGATTTATGACAATTAAATATAACAGTCACATATGCGTAACTAATAACTTTTATTCGAAACCCTTATTCTGTCCTTGTATGCATTTACCTGCTTTTATCAGTGAGAGTACCCGCCGAGGGCACGTCGGCTGCTAAGGCCGCCTCTGTCTTATTGTTTTTGCCGTTGGGATATTCACATTCTTTGATTGAGGTCCTTCGTCAAACGCGACGTCGATCAGCCTATTTTTCTTTTCATGGTCGAAATGGATACTACATAGATGGTTGATGTGCGAACGTAACTTTTCGATCACTAACTTGTCAGCGAGCAGTGCCATGATCTCCATCGATTTGATCGACAACAAAACCAATTGCACACATAGGGTACACAGATAGGCCACATCCATACGCACACACACGAAGTTGCTTCTTTGCTGGTATCTAATCGTAAAGTTAAGTTTGGTACTAATCGTGAAGTTATATA